ATACAATCAATCTGGCCATATTAGAGCAGCCTTATTTCCTCACATAAAAAGAAACTATGGCTCCTTCTTGCAGAGAATTTATATTCCCCTCCCCCATGCAGCCATTATAGCTGCTTAAGTCAGTATCTTGAGCCAACTCTCTTTGAAAGTAGCCATCAGTAATTAAAAATTTAATGAGGGCATAGAAGAAGACCAGATGCAGCTGGGGGTTCTCGAGGCAGCACCTTACTCCCATAGTTAGTCAGCAAGTTAATAGCAGCATTTCTATTTATTATGAAAAGCCAGTAAGAAGCATTTTCTGCCACGTTCACACATTCTTAATGAGCCAAATTTTTCTTCTGCATGACCTGCGCATGTACATCAGTTGCTTTAAGCGGTTGCATTTGCACACTTCTATTTTTAGGTTTTGCTGGGACATTAAAAATAATATCTAAGAGGCTGGAAGAAGTCCAGTTGTTGTGCAAAGTGCCTGATTTACTCCCAAGGAGCAGCCAGGCCCTGGGAGAATCTCAGATTTTATGATAAATGTCAGTGATTATGCTGATAATTGAATGTTCCACCAAAAACCAGTAAGGGAAAGGCATTTTCTCTGCAGTGGGGAAAAAAGCATAAACTGCTTTCTCAAAGCCCGGGGCTGGTGCATTAGCATCCTGCTTATTCTCCCAAGGGTGGGAGTTGGGATAAAGAAAGAAAGAGAAGGAAAGGAGGCAGGGAGACTAACAGAAGAGGGGGCAGGGAGAACGGGAAATGAAATGGTCAGAAAGAGGCAAACAGTCTCTTTAGTCTTGGACCTCTGGCCAAGCGCTGTCCCCAGGACCTACTCAGGGGAGCCCTTCCCTCCTCCCCATTACCTGACTCTGCCCATTAACTTCATGGTGCCATGCAAACCACCCTCTCATCCTGCCCAGATAAGTTCCACTCTGACTGGAAGCTACAGGACCATGGAGCCATCATTTTGACCAAATAAGCAGCTTTTCCAGTCTGCACATAGATTCTAAAGCAACTGCTGACTCCTGCATCTGGATTAGATGAGGACCTTCCCAATGTCCCATGCCGCAGGGCCAAGTCTGTTGTTTGCCCACAATTCTAGCTGTTCCCATGGTTTCCCAAACTGGGAAAGAGCTCAGGAACCTGACCCTCTGCTCTGCAGCGAATTTTGTGATTTTAGTCTGCCCTATGTCCCTTCTCTGGAAAGAACTCTCCCTTACCATGTATTTTGTGAAACTGTCAACGAGGGTGTATTGTCTGCTGTAGGGATGGCACCATGAACCAAACACAGCCAACCACAGGAGCTCCCCATGACAACATGCTTCGTCCATGGGGGGTGGAGGTGGGCATGGAAAGTGCATGAAGCGAACAGGATCAAATCGTAATTTGCATATATGTTCCTTGGGTACATATGCTCCTCTTACTGGGGTTCCAAGAGAAACTTAAACTGAAGGTTGATGAATGAGCAAGAGAGCGCATGGGAGCAGGTGGGCAAGGGGGAAGAGGGAGACCTAGAGAGAGAGAGAGAATTTACAGCTTTGATTCCTGGGTATTTTCTGGGGTAGCCATACAAAATTACCATCACCTTGGTGACTTGCCACAACATAATTATTTTTTAATGCTGGGAGCCAGATATTGACATTAAGGTATTGGCAGGGGCAGAGCTCCCTCTGGACACCATGGGTGAGAATGTGCTCCTTGCCTCTTCCAACTCCTGTGGCTGAGAGCATTCTCTGGTCTTCCCTGGCCAGTAGCTGCATCACTGCAATCTCTGCTTGCCCTTCACATTGCCATCTCTGTGTGTCCCTTCCCTCTGTCTGCGACTAGCTCCCCTTTGCTCTCTTTCATTATGACAAATGTGGTTATATCCAGAACCCACCCAGATAGCTCAAGACATGCTCCTCCTCTCATTTAACTACATACTTACCATGTAATAGTCACTCTCTAGCATATAAGGGCAACAGGTACAGGCTCCAGAGATTATGAATTGACTATATTTTGTCAGGGATGGAGGTGGATTTTCTGGTTTTTAGCTTCTCATAGGTCACATTCAAGGCCCTGCATTCTTATATTCCTGCAGCTCTTTCTTTAACCCCATCTATCATCACTAACCCATGAATTCCCTTAGGCTACTATGAGTTCAGTTCAGTAATTTGTATTTAAAACTGTATTAAATAATAACCCATTCCATGTCTAAAACAGACTGGGAAATGGAGGTGACCTGGTGCAGTGGACAGAACCTCCCTTCTGGGAGTGTTTTAGGTAATCATTGTCCATTCTAATGCATGATCTTTACAAACACTAGGCTTAAAGGTCTGTTGTGTTTGTTTATGCTAACTTTTTTTTTATTGTCTCAAACATGCTGGAATTTTAGTTATGGCATAAGTATAGCTAATGATCAGTAGGGAATTTTTCAACTGTGCCCAGAAACAAAAACAACCAACCTAAGAAGTTTAACCAAAAGCAAGCAGTTATCAAAGCTGAAAAGCCTAGGCTGTGGATCATATATAGCTCAGTTGAGGTTCTGGTGGTATCTTTGAGCTGTATCTCTTCAGCCTTGGAAGTATCTCCAGCTACAGGTTCAAACTCACATTATCTTATACCTAGGTTAGTAGCAGAAACAGTTAGTTTCACTAATGGGTAGAAAACAAACTATGACGTTGGATCAGAGGGTTGAAATGCACTGGTTGATCTGCCCTAGATCACTGCTCTGCTTCTTGAGGAAGGAGAACATATGGATGAATAAGGGAAGAGAAATGCTGTTCTAAAGGGAAACTGGATATGGTCATATGGTTTGGAAGTACAATGAAAACATGAATACAAAAAAGAATGCCTAAACGAATACACTTACTAGCATGGCATAAAACCCCTTTATCAGGTAAACAGGTCTGCCAAGTTCTTGATAAGTAGATTATCATAAGAAATAGTTTTGTAAACATAGGATGAAAATTTATGCCACCAATTTACAGAATTTTCAGAAATTAACTTGGAGATTATGTGCATCTAGCACCGATAGATAGGGAAGAATAAACATTAAACCATACACTGTTCTGTATATTTCAATAAACACAAATATTAAGTAATTATTTCCCTAAGATGCTTATGAAAGCATCTCATCACAGTTACTCTCAACAAGCAAACAAATTGTTACAATGAATGCAATTAATAAATATTGAACTCAATTCTAGAAGTACTTTTTTTGAGATTTGGTGTTCTGTGGTCTTCAAACCGTACAATCACATACCTCTAGCAATAATATATACAAACTATCAAATATGATGAATTAAAGGCCTAATAATAATAAAGACTTGAAAAACACTGCATTTTACTAATGAATAGTCATAAAATCTTTTTACTCTTACTGGAAAAATAGTAATAATAAGCTTAATGAGGTCATGTTTTTATTTCATTTAGAATATACTTGCTCTGGGGCCCTCCCTGGTGGCGCAGCTGGTTAAAGCACAGCACTAAGAAGCTAAAAACACTTCAGCATGAGTTTGATCCCCGCCCACCCTGCAGGTGACCATATGGCGAGGCAGATCTCTCCTGACCCGCCAGCTCCTCCCCTCAGCAGAGGACTTCGTCAGTTGGCCTGTTCTGCTCCCCACTCTGTCTCTGATGAAGCCTCTCACCACCCCTGTACCTCTTACCTGTACCCCAGTTCTGTATGCATAAATAAATAAATCTTTTTAAAACTAATAGATAATGAGGTTAGTTATGTCGAGTGCTAATCCTATGGGACTGGTGGGCTTCTCAGAAAAGAAAGCAAGCCCACAGAGGAAAGTCCACGAGAGGAAACAGGGAGGAGACACTGGACAGCGTTCTCAAAACTCTGGATAGCATTCTTGCCAGATACCAGCCCTGCTGACCCTTGGATCTTAGACATAAACTGGGAGAAAATAAATCCCTTTTGTTTGAGCCATCGGATCTGTGCTATCTGTTAGAACGGCTCTCACAGATAAATACACACCAAATACACATGAGTCTGGATGGAAGATGCATGCCATCCCCTTTCTAACCAAACTGCCATCTGTATTCTTCAATCTTGTAAACTGGTCTTGCAAGTTTTCTCCACAGTTTGGCTATCTGCTCTAGTTTCCATCTGCTCTAGAAGTCATTTGTTCTTCAAATTCATTGAAAGCTACAGCATTTTTGTATCTTTCAGAATGAGTAAATAAGCCACTGGAATTTTTTGTTAGAAGTTTTTGTTTACATTTTTTCAAATGTGTGTATACAAGACTTTTTATGGGTGCCACACTTTTTTTTTTAAAGATTTATTTATTTATTCATACAGAACTGGGGTACAGGCCAGAGATGCGGAGGGTGAGAGGATCACCAGAGACAGAGCAGGGTACAGTACAGGCAGATCGACAATGTACACTGCTGAGAGGAGCAGCGGGCGGGTCAGGAGAGGTCTGCCGCGCCATGTGGTCACCTCCAGGGCAGGCGGGGATCAAACTCATGCTGAAGTGGCTTAAGCTTCCTAGTGCAGTGCTTTAACCCGCTGCGCTACCAGGGAGGGCCGGGTGCCACACTTTTATTGCTTTGAACTACAAAGTCTCTTATCATGAAACATTCCCAGACATCCAATTTCAAAATGTTATCTGCATAGCACAAATTTGGTTTTAAAAGCAATTACTTTCTCCCTCATTAGAAGCATCATGCTTTACCTTGAAGTGGAAGACTGTGTATGAAGCTGGCATTTTTTAATCTGATAGACAGCATTCTACTTGTTATTTCATGAAGAGACAACACATTTGGAACAGGTGTCTTTTTTGTCAAGCAAAGAAGCATGTTTTCAAATTTGGTAACATTTACAACCTCTGTCCCAATAATCGGTGAGCCTAAGTGTAGTAGAAAATATTTTCATAGTCACTTCTCATATCATTACTAAGTATACCAAATATTCAACTATCTGTTAATTTATAAAATTATCTGTATCTAACTTTCTATAAAATTCTAACTTTCTATAAACTTTCTAACTTTCTATAAAATTTTCTTTGCTACAGTAGCTGCTCTATATATGGTACAGGGACCTTATGTTGATCCTCCCGTCCACACCATTCAAAGCACTGACACAGTTCTCATAGAAAATATTGCTTTCATTATATGTTATTTATTATTAAAAATGTATCATTTCCAATATCCCTTTCCATAGTTGCTCACACACAAAAAGTAGTTCTTTGTTTAATTCCTTACTAAAGCAGAATCTTGCCAACATAAGCATCTATTTGAAACATCTCTATTTTCACTCCAAACTCCCACATGGCACAATTTGGTCTAATATTTGTTTTTCCTACTAATCTTCATACATACATACATGTATGTATGCATAAGTGAGTCCTGGGGATTCTGTAGCAACTCCAGAAAAGGGCTTTCTTCCTTGCCCCTAAGGTATAGTCCAAGGTCATGATGGAGCTGGCAATGTAGCTAGTTTAACATCCTGACAGCATGGGCCAGTACTCCCAAGAGTCACTATCCGGGGGATGAAATAAGATTGCTACAGGTAGAGGGAAGAGATTGCAAGAAATTAGATGCACATTTGAGCTACTGGATGAAGGTTTACCTCATGCCAGACCTACCCCTGGATTTCTCAGCTATAAATTCTATGTAACTGCATAAACCATTTAAGTTGGCTTCTTTGTCACCTGCAGCCAAAAAATTCCTTACTGATATAACTACTAACTCTTGCAGCCAGTTTTGTTGTTACTATTACTTATTCTGTTCACTGTAGAGAATTGCTAAAAACACTCCATAACACAGAATTATTATCAGTATCTGTAAGATTCCTCCACTGAATTACTTATTAGCACATATTATTTATGTAGATACCAGGCTGTTCTAGTACTTTACTATTCTAAGTACTCTACATATATTAACACATGTAAGCTGCATAATAACTCTGTGAGTTAGTACAGCAAGTCCTCAAGTAGCATTATGAAATGAACATTTTCAATATCATTTTGTTGTAATTGATGAGAAAGATGCTTCCTTGTTAACAATGAGCAGGACAACATCATTTGAGACCCTGCTTTTCTTATACTTTGGCTTAGAGTCAAGTTTTCAAGAACCTATTGAAGATTTTAAGTGAGGGTTTATTGTACTATTATTATTATAACCATTTACAAACAAGAAAACTGAGAAAAAGACAGGGTAAGTGACCTCACCTCACCCGAGGTTAATGCAGTAAGAAAAAAAGCTAAGATTTTCAACGACTGAAATTTTGAGCCAGGTAACCCTGGCTAAAACCCTTGTTCTTAATCACTATAGCACACCGGAAAAACTTAACTACTCACAAGCAGTTGGCATTATCCACTTGTTTAATTTTTGTCACTTTGATGAATGTAAGGTAATATCCACCTCTTATTGTGTGTCCTTGGGCAAAGTCCTTAAATTCTTTCTGTTTCCATTTCCTTGCCTGTAAAATGGAGGTAATAAAATAACATCAATTTCATTATGCAGTTTTTTTTAAGATATTACTTATTTATGTATACAAGAACTGGGGTACAGACCAGAGGTGTGGATGTGAGAGGATTAATAGGCAGATCTAGTGAAATACACTGCTGAAGGAAACAGCGGGAGAGACAGGAGAGGTCTGCTGCACCATGTGGCCAGGGATTGAACTCTTTCCAGCGGCTGAGGGTAGCTGCATGTGCCTGTGGAGAGCTTTGTAGGCTGCTCTTTAACCCACTGTGGGACCATGGAGGACCCTCATTACACAGTTTAAATAATACAAATGACTTTGAGCATATTTTCTTTCTCAGCCGTTTGGGATTCCTTTTTATTTTGATTTTTTTAAAGATTTACTTATTTATGCATACAAGAACTGAGGTAGAGGCCAGGGGTGCAGAGGCAGTGAGAGGATTCACCAGAGACAAAGTGGGGAGCAGAACAGGTGGATTTTGACTGAAATACACTGCTGAGGGGAGCAGCAGGCTAGACAGGAGAGATCTGTGCCCCATGTGGGTCATCTCCCTGGCTGGGGATCAAACTTGTGAACTGATGCTGAAGCAGCTGCACCCACCTTCATAGTGCTGTGCTAATTTAACCCGTTGCATCACCCAGGAGGTCTCTGGGATTTCTTTTTTGAAATTGTCTGTTCACACTCTTTGTCCATTTTTCTATTGGGTTCCCTGTCTTTTTCTAATTGATTTACAAATGTTATATATGTATTGCAGTTATGAACTTCATATCAGTTTTAGATATTACATATTTCCTTCCAGTCTTACTAATGGTGCCCTTCATGGGCAGAAATCTTTAATTTTTATATAATTAAATCTACCAAGCATGACACAATTGTACAGAGTTTCAAATATAAAAAACATCCCTTATTCTCAAACAAGTTAAACTCACTTAGCTTGAGAATCAAGAAAACTATCTGAACAAGAGTGAAACACCATGTAACAGTAACAGTATGCAATAAAAGGCCAAAATGGGCCCTCCCTGGTGGTGCTGCGGGTTAAAGCAAACACTGAGAATCTAAAGCTGCTTCTGCATGAGTTCAATTCCCCCTGGCCCCGGAGGTGACCATATGGCGTGGCAGACCTCTCCTGACCCGCCCGCTGCTCCCCTCAGCAGTGTACTTCATCAATCTGCCTGTTCTGTTCCCCACTCTGTCTCTGGTGAAGCCTCTCACCATCCCTGAGCCTCTGGTCTGTACCCCAGTTCTGTATGCACAAATAAATAAATCTTTAAAAAAAAAAAAGGCCAAAATGTAAATAATGTTGTTTACCTAGCTAATAATCGTGGGCAAGTACCCAGTTTTTTCTGAGCTTCATTTCCCCTATTTGGAAAATGGAAGCAATAAAAAAATCTTTCAGTTTGTTGTGATGATTAAATAAAATAAGACATGCTGAATAGGGGGAAGGTACCAGATACATAATTCCATGGCAATTCACATGCAAAGCAGATCAATGCAATAATGACTACCATTTATGGAAATTACTACCTGCCTGGCTTTTTCTGAGGTACCACATTTAAATTTCACAACCTCTTCAAGGCATTACCTCTGCCATTTATCAGATACAGAAATCTTAGTTAAGAAAACTTAAGTAATTTGAAGAAAGTCACACATCTAATAAATAAAATGGTAGCAACAGGAGTGACAGCTGGGTTTGTTTGATCTCACTCCTGAGGTGCTCTCCGGTGTGCCGAGTTATTGTCAGAAAACAGGCTAGCGAAGCAATTAGACTTTACTTGGGTCCTGGAGTAAAAAACAACACAATTTGATTAGACAGAAGGCGGAAGAGAGAAAAGATGATGCCAGATTCTGAGAGGATGCAGTTATGTGCAAGAGATGAAAAGTGTTGCTAAGTGTTATTAGAGGGCAGAAGCAAACACTTTTACAACACATCTCCCTTCTGTCCTAGTACAGACTGGAACGGAGTAGCTCAGGGAAGGAGATCTATTTCCCACCTACTTCTTTAACAAGGATATGGGAATGTCTTGTCTGATTGAAAAAGTAGCTAAGCCTGTCTGACCCCTTGAGTCTCAAGAGCAAAGCTGCCCTAAGAAGGATGTTTTTTCTGCTATCCAGAAACTGCAAGACACACAAACAGAATTTCCATTCTGGGGTGGAATAGAAGTGGGTACATTGATTCTGCATGTCTAAAGCCATGGCCACCATTGCAGCTTCCACCAGGAATGAAGCTGACAATTTGCTCTTTATGAGTTTGTCTCCTGCAATTATCTCAGTGGGTTCTGAACATATGTAGGAAATATAGGTGCTATCTGAAATCCCCTGAAACCACAATAGGCACTCAACAAACCATGGCAGAAAAGTGGATATAACAAGCTCAGAGGACACTAAGAATATGGCCTGATTTAGCAGAGGGAGGTATATTCAGTAGCTGAAGTACTTAGTGGATAAGATGGTCTCAGTATTAGAAGACTTAAAGGAAAGGCATAGAGTTTGGACCTGTGGGAACAGAGCTGAAAGCTTCTGAACAGGGAAAGATGAAAGGGAGACCATGTTTAAATCAGGTAGTTAGAATATGGCAAAGGGTTACAGTGGTGACTAGGCAAGGAGAGCCTGGAGCTGAAGAACTAGAGGTGGTTTCCAGCATTCCAGAGGGAGGGAGGAGGAGGGCCTGGGCTAGGGAGGAGGAAATGCGATTGGGGGTGGGGGGTGAAGAAATGTACATGAGATGTCAAGGGAAAGTTGCCAGGATGTGGTGAAGTCTGGGAAGCCGAGGCAGTTTTCCAGGCACCACTCTGGAAAGGTAGATGAGTAGTGGGAGCTGCTGGAGAGTGGGGCTCTGCCTTGGACATGCTAAATCTGAGTGCCAAGTGTATTTTCTCTGGGTACCAGGGACACAGGTAGGAAAAGGCCATTTGGAAACAGTTTGGGAAGTGAACACTAGCACATTTGAATGTCACTAGGAAGAAGCTGGTGGAGAGGGCAAGCATGAACATGAGAGGTACCTGGGATGACAAGAATGCAAATGGAGAGGAGGGGGTCACGGATCCTGGCCCAGAGGATAGGACCCGATGCTGATGACAAACTCTGGGAAACCTCCCCAGCAGAGCAGGGCTGCCACCACCCTTCCCACAGGAAATGCACAGTGGAGCCCAAAGCGGCCTTGCCTTGCTAGCAGGTCTTGGAGACCCTGCTCTCACTTCCTGGAGTTCTGGCAGCAGGGACGCGCTGGACCCCGAACTGTGGGATACCTCTGCGCCTCCGGCCTACTTTTCTTAAGCGAGGGGGGCGGTCGGGGAGTAAGAGGTAGTCCGGCTCCCCAAAGCGGGGTGCCTTTCCCTCCAACTGGGGCCCCCAGCAGCACCACCCACCTAGCCACAGCCGCAGCCCGCCAGAGCTGCCGCAAGCCCGCGGCCCCTCCCGGGGGTGGGGTTTAGGCCTCCCACCTACCCCATCCCCTCGGTCTTTGTTGCAACGTACCTCCCTCCCCCCCCAACCACAGGAAGGTCCCGGTCTCTTTGTCAGCACCCACGCCCTGGAGGGCAACAGGGTCCTCCGCGAGGGACCAGGCCGGGAGAGGGGCTCGGACCGCGCCAGGACGCACGCGGGCTCTGGGAACCGGGCTGGGAGCAGCGAGCGGAGCCCGGAGCCGCGGGGGCCGCTGCTGCAGAAGTGGGAGGAGAATGGGAGGAGCTGGGGGGGGCGGCGGTCGGGAAGGAGGGGTCTTAAGGGGCGGCTAGCCCAAGTCGGATTTCCTCCGACGCTTGCGATCGCGAAGCTCCCACCTTCCTTTCTAGCGAGCTGCCCCACGCCCTCCGGAGACCCGCACCCGACAGGGTGAGAGCCGGACGTGCGGCGCGGAGCCCTGCGCGGGGGGTCGGGCGGCCCAGGGTGGCCGGGCGGAGGGGGCGATCCTGCGGGACCCGAAGAAGTTTCCGGGATCGGCGCGGGGCCCGGTGCTTCCAGTCACTCTTCTCTCTTCCGCAGATGTGGACGCGTTGGCTTCTCGCCCTGGCGCTGGTGGCCGTTGCCTGGGTCCACGCCGAGGTAGGTGAGGGGCCGCGGACGTCGGACCTCGAGCCCCGGCCCCCAGGTCCTCGCGGGGTGCGGGCGGGGCGTGCGTCCCGGGGATGCTTTCTGGGGTGGGGCTGGGAGTTTCCCTTCGTGGGGTGAGAGGGGCGCTCGGAGCACAAACACTACTTGCGAAACTTAGACCTCCAAATCAGGAAAAGTAGTTTGGGCCGTAAGCGGGAGCCCCACGGTTGCTAACATGGAGGGAGAGTGACAAAGGGGAGAGGACGAGCCGGGCCCTTTGGGACGGAGGCGGCGACAAGAGCAGCAGCCGAGTTCAAAAAGGCTCCTGGAGTGCTTTCCTTCACTTGGGAGGAAACAGAATAGCTAGGGAATCTTCCCTTCGAGGCTGAATCCTTGGAGGGGAAAAAAAAGAAAACTCAAGAAATTCTTCATTTAGGGCGGAATAATGTTTTTTTCCCTCTGTTTTGTAATGTAAGATTATTATTCCCTGAGCTTTTTTTTTTTTTTTCTTGGTAAAGTGCCCACGGATTTTGTGTTACTGTCAGGGTCATATAACGGCCTTTTAAAATCTCGATTTTCCTTTAAACTAGCATTGCGCAAGTGTGAGCGATCCATTGCCACTCTTTGGGGGCTTCGTGTTTCCAGTCAAAGTATTTCAGTACTTTTTTGGTAATGTTTTCTTTTCAACTCCCCTGACCTTCCTGAGACACTACAAACAAACCAACAAACCCTTCACTCACAAGCCCCTCCATTAACTCAAAGGTTTATGGACAGAAAATAAACAGTTCTAAATTCCCTGGGCTCTGAGCTCCAGAAAAGTGAGGTCAGAAACCAAACATTTGATAATTATAGCAGGAAATGTGGAAGGAATTAAAGAGCATGAGAGAGAAGAAATGGAATGTACATTACAAAAGAAATAGCTCCCTGGTGGGTGGTTATTCTCCCTCTTTGAATTTTTTTTTTTTTTCATATTACAATTTCACCCCACCCTTAGCATCATAGCTTGTCTCTGCCCAGAAATATCATAAAAGCTTGTAGGGTCTTCCCAATTAAAAAAAAAAAATCACATCATTCTTAACTCCCATTTAATTCATTACTACATTGCTGCTTGTGATGGAAATATGACTTGTTTTTGCTCGCAGTTAAATAAATAATTGATATATGTTGGGTATCTACTGTGTGTTATAATAAAACTTCATTTTAATGATGAAGAAACTGAGTCAGAGGGGCTACCTAATTTATCCAGGGTCCTGAACCCTTGAATGATAGACATGGACTATAACCCCCCAGCAGGCTGGTGTCACACTCCAGGCCCTTAACCACGACCCACACAGAACCTAACATTTACCGGGTTCTTCTACATAGCAGATGTGGGGCTATGCAAATCATTTCTTTTAAAGCTTCCTAAACCTTGTAAGGTAGGTTTGATTAACCCCATTTTACAGGTTGAAGATCAGGTAACACAGCTAAAAAGGATCCCAATTCCCTCAGCCTTTGGAGCCCATCTTAAACTCCAGGTCTGTTTCTCATGTATTTTTGTTTTCCAGGATTTGAATCTAAGGGAGACCCCCTCTTCACTGGTTGGCTTAGCCCTGGCTAAGGAACACCCTTCCATTCCTACTGTGGCCCTCAAAAGTGGCAGCAGCAGAACACTGGTAGATGAGGTGAATCCCTGGTTGGCTTTACAGCAAGCTTAAGAATTGCCAGCTAGTGTGTGAAATTGCTCTGTGAACTGGAATGCAAATATGAGGTGTGAGGAGGCTGTAGGTGCATAAGGCCCAAGGCTGTGTGTGCATAAGGCCCAAGGCTGTGTGGCCCTGTTCTCTCACTAAGCCTCCTCCCCTACCCTACCTTTGCACTGCAGGGAAAGCTTAGCTCTCATAGGAAGTTCCCTCAGCAGCAATTTCCTGCTTGAGGTGAAGAGCTGAGCGTACTCTGAGAATTCCTAGGAAAAATCCATAGGGAAAAAGGCAAAATCAAGAGGGCTGAGACATGAAAACTGAGGGAGTTGGTTAAAAAGGCTATAAACTCAGAGTAGGTAGGATCTAGGTTACTTCACAACTCCAGATTATCAGGGATTGCCTTTTATTTATTTACTTTTAAAGATTTATTTATTTATTTATTTATTCATACAGAACTAGGGCACAAGCCAGAGGTGCAGGGGCAGTGAGAGTCTTCACCAGAGACAGAATGGAGAGCAGAACAGGCAGATCAATGAAGTACACTGCTGAGGGGAGCAGCAGGCAAGACAGGAGAGGTCTGCCATACCATGTGGGTCACCTCCCGGACCAGGGATCAAACTCGCACTGAAGGGGCTGCAGCCAGCTTGCAGGGCTGCGTCCTGACCCATTGAGCCACCAGGGAGGGCCCGAGATTGCCTTTTAATCAATCCAATCTCATGGTGTTCTGCTTTAGTAATATTTGGCAAGTTTTAAAATATGTTTTAATATTAACATGCCTTGAATTACAAATGAAAAGGTAAATTAACCTTAGCACTTTGGTTATTATTTAAAGTGTTTTGTCATGGTGTTAATGGTGCTTACAGTAGAACTTTTTCACCTTGCTAACTATAACAACAATAGCAAATGGAATCAAATAATGATAATTTACTGCCGTTGTCGACATAAATCCACTTTAGTAGGTATGGCTAAGACTGTGCAAATATTGTTCAACTTTTAAAAGATGAAATTGAGAAAACATACTGAGTTTTCTTGGCACTTTGATTTATTACAAGCACAGGGTTCAGTCAGTATATTTTTTTAAAATGTGATTGTCTGGTAGATTATTTGAAAAAGCCCTGCCTTTGGAATAGCAGACTTCCAGAATCAGGTGTTCCAGGCCTGAGGAAAGGTGACCTGTCATCATGACTTCTATTTGTTTAGATTCAAGAACTAGTAAGTTGTCACAAAGAAAAGTGTTAGATTTTTTAATGTTTCCCATGGTCTCTAACTTAACATGGTACCCAAAGCATACTTTTTACCTTCTCTTTGCCTTTATATTCAGTTACCAATAAATTCCTTCAAACAACCTCCAACACCTAGGCTCCCAACATGCCCTCTCTATAAGGAAGTGTTGGGGTATGGCTCATGTCTCCAGGAATATTTATTAGCTTTTAGGGTGGAATGGGGCTCGGTGGTCAATAGCAGAGCACTTCAACTAACAAACAGTTACCTCTTTTTGATTCAAAACTGTGTGTACCTGCTTACTCCCTCCCATTCACTTCCCTCCCACTGAGAACTACTGTACTTCATTGCAAAGTGTTGATGGAGGCACAGTGTTAAAGCCAAGAGGTAGAGAATCCAGGCAGCAGTCTGTGGCCTTGAGTCTCAATAATGGATCTGAGTTTACTCTTACATGGGGTCCCTTCGGCCAACTGCCTGCTCCAAAAGGCAGCCTCGCAAGTGTTCAGACCAACCTTCTCTTTCTTGTTGGCTGTCTCTGCTGACACTATGATTCCCTGCATTTCAGTTTATAAATTCATTGTAAGTCACATGTACAGACCTTATTCACATTGAGGGAATTCTGATAGAGAATTCTGATCTTTGAATTATGAGTACATCAGTTAAGATAGGAAGAACAATAATTATATGGATAGAAAAGAAGATTATTAGGGCATTGACCCTCTGAAGCCAGATTTCTTAACCTCATTTACACCCTATTACCCATGTACAGTTAATCAGCCATAAAGGGTTTTATTGGCTCATGTGGAATCTCCTCTATCTTTTTTAGATTTACTCTAATGGTTGATTCAGGCAGGCCTAGAGTGTGACCCATATTCTCTGGCCAATTCTTCTGTGAGCTGCAAGGAAATAAGATTGTAATTTCCAGCTTATACATTAACCACTAAAATAATCTCTTGTTTTTGCTCTGGCAAAGACTATTTGCTAAGATTCTAAAGACCATTGTTGGAAATCAGCATGTTGAAAATAGTAAGATAGAAAGAGCCAAAACAGATGATTAAGCATCCTGCAAAATGAGGTTGTGACCATTGAAAATGTCTTTAGAAGGGGGATGCATTAAAATTACCATAGACATCTCTGGATTGGGTGACAGAAAGGAGAAGTCAGCTTCCAGGCTCAGAAGGGTGAGTGGGGAGGAGTGAATGTGAGGTAGACAAGATCAGGCTGTAGTGGATATAAAGTCCCAAAGAAGAAAACACAGTCTCAAAGTCAATGACATAGAACCACATGTTTCCACAAGAATGGAGAAAGGAAGGATCAACTCTGAATACCAGTCACCATATAGGGAGAACTGAAAAGGTCAGTGTCGTCTTGCTTCTCTAAATAACTGGGTAGGAAAAAATTCTAGCAGATACACAGATATTACAAGTTTGGGGGGAAAAA